GCATAACTGTGGCTGCGTTATCTGGTACGTCTGGTTTGGCTGCTGCTGATGATGATGATAATGCTGCTGCTGCTGCTGCTGCTGATGATGATGATGATGATGATGAGCGTGCGCAAAGCTGGAACCATCACTAAGCAGACAAGTTGAGTCGCCTTGTTTGGATGGCAACTCAACACCCTCTTTCTCCGTCAATCTATCAATCAAGCGAAAGAAATTCTTACTCAACTTTCTACCACCATTCATCATATTCAGCGTATTCCATAATCTCTTAATTTCAATAGCTTTGCTTATTTTTCTTTCAACAGCAGACGTATCATAATCAGCAACCCTGCTGGTTTGAGAACATTCTCGCTCATGTCCAGTCTCTGCTACGTGCTCGTCCACTTCTGACTGTTGCACCCAACATCCTTTTTGTCTTCCTCCAATCCTTGACGGATAAGTCGGCTTATTTCACCAACATAAGCTCGACCACAGGCACAAGCAATCTTGTGGCAGCCAGATCTCGTGAATCGGTCACATTTCTCTCGAAAAGATGGCATAGCCGAAAAAAGCGTGTGTATTTCTTTAATCACTCCTCCCTAATTCGCCCATCTTATTAGAAAGAAGGCATGACGACAAAACTAGAACATGGGAAAAGGTCTCGGCCTGTCTATCTTTGACTAAATGGTCTTCGTCTAAACAGTTATTCCTCAGTCAAGAGACATATTTCTCAATAAGGTCCGAAAGATTATTATTTTCCAGGAACAAATTTGTTAGCCACTCCAACTCTTTAGTCAAATGGTTACTATCCGCTATTCTCAAACTTATAATATGCATTGATTCCAAAATTCCAACCTTCGTTTGGTAACTATGCTTAGAAAGAAAATTCAGAAAAGAGCCAATATTCGTTGGCTTTCTATAAACATCTCTTCCCAACTGACCCTCTTCCAAAAAAGGTAAGGATCTATCCTCTTCTATTTCCATCGTGAACCCAATGTTCCTTTCACGTTGGTTAAATGAAAGTAGGCGACTATCTAAGCTTTACTTACCACGAGGACAGATGATAAAATAGTCATTCTTGTAGCTAACCGGTAATTTGTGGGGTTACCATTGCCTGTTCCAAATAGTATTCCTCAAGTTGGTTCGCGTAGTTGTTCGCCAAGCTGAGAGGTAAGCTTAAACTTTCTGTCAGACAGCTTTCGGCCAAATTGTAATTCTTTCAAAGTGTGTGGTGGAGATAAACATTGTTCTGAATTGGTGTTGGTCTGTAATTAACATGGAAAGGAGTTGTGTCTCATTGGAACCGAAAAAGGTCGTCTTAAGGACAAGTAATCCAGAAAAAAATTGCATAGAGCGTACCAAAAGAAAGCCATGGCAATATTGGCCTGTTGGAAGCAGATTCACTTCACGTTTTAACTCAAACTTAAATGGGACCAACTATTCTCATTTATTTGATCTGTTTAGATCTCACAGAGGACAGGACGATATTTAGATTATCGAATGGGCCCAGTTTGTAGATGGCTTCACAAAATGTAATGTTTTTTTTATTTTTTCTTTATAGGTACGTTCTAGAGACGACTAGTTGATGGCATATAAAAGCTTCCTTCACCCAATTTTGTTGAATGTGATGAAGGACTGGCAATTGAATTGTGTCACAATCCTATGTTTCCATTAAATTGCATACAGTCTTTCTCCAAAAAAGTCATTCCGATCCAGGCAGGAGTGGATTTCAGTTTCGACTTCGCCGCGGGATTCGAATCTATAGTCTATACACGTGAACAGTTGCGCCCCACTTTCATGAGTGCTCTTGTGTCACTGGGCAAAGCTGAATGTAAAGTTCAAGCCTTCTTGCATGCCACATTCTGTGGCGGGATTGTGAACGATGCAAAATTGTATTAGCAATCTACTACACTACTGATTACTCCTTTTATAAGTAGTCTTTTCGAGACTACCAGTGCATCTAAGAAATGAGCTGCATAAAACCTATGTCGTTGAAGGTGAGGAAAGATTGGTAGTCGAATTTTCTCACAATCACATTATTAGTTCACATGGGCTTGCTTGGACTGGGGATGAGAATACTTTTTTGGGAGCAAATATATTTGAAGTGCAATGGAAACGTGAGGCCTGCCGATCGGATTATGGACAAATCAACTAT